GTCATGCTTTTTCAGGCACAGAGAAAACGAATTCAAACCCTGTGCCTTAGTTTTTCTGTTAAAATTTCATATGCGTTTATTTACTCTCTAGTTTACAAAACACCTTGACATCCCAAAAGTTTGACACAATGTTAAACCGCGATTTTGGGTTGACTTACTCTGATAGGAATTTTCTTATATCTCAATTTTGAAGTCAATAAAACAGCAGATAAAAGTCGCCATATATGTTGAGGTTTAAGGCTGCAATCTGGATTGAGTTTGACTGGCCCATTCTTCACGCATTATATTTCTCAATTCTGCTTCGTCATGTTCTGAAATTTTTTGCACTCAAAACTTGGTGGAAACGTGAAACATCACTTTGGCCCCTGAATGTCTGCGGCTTTGGTCTCAAATTTTTTGCATGTGCTGAATTCCTACACGACATTCTGTTTTTGGGTCGCAACTTTTGCACGACATTTGGTAGTTCTGAGAAGACTTCTCTTGTGGGGAAAATGACTGGACTTTCTAACACAAGCCGTTTTGTTTTAACAGAGGAGAAGACCAGTTGAGTATAAATGAAAAATGAAAGAGAGATAGTCACATGTTTGTATACGGCTGGTAAACACCGGTGAATCTGTTGAAAATACATGTAACTGGTAAACACCGGTGAATCTGTCGAAGTTTTCTATGTGGTGAACTCATAGAAAACCTTTTTGCCTATACCTTGCCAGGGGAAAAACGTGAGAATTACTGACTTTTGAGATATGACGCTACCAAAAATAGTGGATGAATCTAATCTAACCCAGGTTTTTATCTTTTTAAATTCAAAAATAATAGGCAACTGAAAGGACAAAACCTGAATTCAAACCCAGAAATGGGCTTGGGAGTAGATAGATATTAGATCATACCAAGCAGATAAATTTTAGATGTTACACCAGTACAGAGTGATGGATGCACTGGGAGAAGAAGAAGTAAAAGAAAAAGCTATTTAACACAGAACTTTATCTATATTTAATCTCTGGAGTCTGGAAAAACAACTGATACAATATAAGAAACTCATATGAATTCAACCTTAACTAATTAGCACTTCACTAACAGGTAAGAATCTATATATCTCAGTCTGCTGTACATTGAAGGGCTTTACAAATATGCTGGCAGCAATGGTCCAGGTGAGGTGGACCAATATAGACGATGCTGCACATCAATCCGTACAACTATTAACAGGAGTACACACAATAAGAATCGAAATTCACAAGCGAATGGTGCTCATAACTGCAGTATTGAAATCCAAGCTGTAATGGAAAGGCGACTTTGTAATGAGAGATCTCCATTTCTTCTTCTTAGGATTGTAGATTTGGATGTACAGCGTTCCTGCCCTCTTATGCAGTCGCGACCTTCGGGTTTCTGTTGTCTCAACTGCCTTCAAAAGGGTGATTGCATGCAGCTCTCCGTCCAATACAACAAATCCAAATAATGAGTTGCAAGGAGCCTTTCTTGGTATACGTGACTCTTTAAACCAGCGATTTGAAGCCATGTTATACCTGCAGTGCAGTAGACACAGCATTTAAGCAACAAAAGCAATAACTTCCTTTGAAAATCATCATTGAAAGATCAAATGCAGAGGGGCAAGTTTTAAAGTAGCTGCATTCCATTTAGGTCTTCAAGTTCTAATTTCCTATACAAGATGATGTTCTTCAAATTAGGGACAACATACAGCACTTGAGCATTCACAGTGGGAGAAATTCAAAAGGACACACATAAACTGGGGCAGATGACATACGCCCAAAAGGACATTAATAAACATACACAAAAGCGAACTTACAAGAATGTGGTCCCATATAGTAGAATAGCTTCTACAGATAGTCCCATAAAACTATGCATCTCTCAACATTTTTTTATGATAAACAACATTTTCCCTAATGTAAACCACAATCAATCCAATAGAAAAGAAGCTAAAGCATCACAGCCATTATTGCTAGGTAGAATCTATGTCAAAGGAACTCCAGAGACTAGGTCACCTAAGTCATAAACTTTAAATTAGCATAATTATCCAATTTAAATCATCATAAAAAACTGAAGCATAATAGCCACTGTCTGTTAGGTTTTATTAGTTCAATATAGCTTGACAGAAGATTTCAAACTCTGTCTTCTGCATTCTCCTTTTGGTGGAATATAAAGATAATGTTCAGCCTGAGATATAAGCACAAACTACATCATGGAGAATCAGAATAAGTTCAAGATCTGCCCCTCCCCAGTTGTTTCTTTAAAGGCAAATCCAAAGACAATGCTTCAATGGTGTTATATATAAAATATGACCGAGCCACATAAAGAGTTCCAGCATTCTGCAAAGCTTGGATAGTCTCACAAAAAAAAAAAGAAAAAAAAAAAGCTAGTATACGTGGATTAAGACTTTAAATCAATGAACATTTTGATGTTTCCACTTCAGATAATCCTCTCCCATGCACACGTGTTTTCCCTTTTGTTATGTTTAACCACTGAGGGGGACCAAGGGTGCAAAGGGAACAAAAGTCGACTCCATCTAAGTTCTTACACCCTTATTTCACTACTCCACTTAAAAAAAAAATTCTCAATGAATATCTCTAAGTACCTACTCTAGACTGGACCATCTCAGCAACTCAGCATCTCTGAGTACTTCTAATCGCATTTGCATGATCCATTCAACTAACATTTCAAACCCTATAAGGCCAATAATTACAGAAATCTAACACTAAGTTCGGGCACAACTCTCAATCAAAATAACATTAATCATTCAATACCAGGTAATTTTTAAGTAAATGCAATAATGTTGTGGGAAACTGAATCATCAATACACCCGGAACATGAGGCAGCAGCAAAAATTTTCTATCTAAATCACACATTTAGTTCATCTGAAAACAACTGTTGCCCATTAAACTGATTTAAGTAACATCAAATTCAAACAAATCCAACAAGGAAACACAATGCAGAGCAAAAACATTTGAGCTTAAAGCTTAGTAGAGGTATTTAAGACTGACATCTACATGAATAATCTCAATCCAATTTGAATCAATTGTTACTAGCAGAACAGAACATACAATGCTAGTTCAAGCCCAAACTTAAACACAAAAAATTAAGAAAATGGAAAAACTACCTGAATATATCATTCCCATCAAGCATGAAAACAGCAGGGCGTCCACGATCATCACCATCTTCGATTACGACAATTTTCCCGAGCCTCACCCTTTCCCCTTCTTCCCACATATCCCCAAGCTCCCTCCACCTGCCACCACCATCCCCATTCTTCAATTCCATCACCACGGCGTCTCTGTAATACTCGTCTATTGGAAAAACTCCTGATATCGTCCTAGACTCGCCGTACCCACCCATCACCCAGAACTCCCTCTCCTCCCCTTCCCCAACAAAGAACCCCGCGCACCCGGCCCGAAAACCCGGCAACCCGTCCATGGAAACCCATTCATTTCTACCGATGTCATATCGCTCCACCGAGGTCATTCGGCTTCCAGCGGCGCTGAACAGCGTGTGACGAGAGCCACCGCCAGCGACGAGAATCTCGCCGGAGCTCGGAACCGCGGCGCAGGCGAAGCTGCCACGTGGCGTGAGCATCGGGGCGAGGAAGTCCCACGAGGAAGTGTTGAAATCGAATCGGAAGACAGCGGAGGACGGCGAGGGACGGTCGATCGGGAACGAGCGAGTGTCGAAGAGCGAACCGCCGATGACGTAGAGGTGGGGGCCAATGGAGAGGGATGTGAAGTTGCAGAGGCCATAGACGTGGGGGTTACAAGGCATGGGGGGAAGGGGGCACCAGGCTAGGTTTTGGGGGTCGAAGAGATAAGGAGAGGCTACAGAGGGGTCTTGGGGGAAGATACAGAGGAGGTGAGAGAGGTTACGGTGGGTTTGGCGGAGAGCGATTAGGGTTTTGGAGGAGAGGAAGAGCTTCCATGATTTGCAGGTTGGTTTGAGGCGAGCTTGGTGGGAGTAGGGGATGAAGGAGAGAATGAGTGATGCGACGTCGTTTGGGAGACCAGGAATTAGGGTTACGGTTTCGTCGATCTGCATCAATTGTGGTGAAGATGGCGATGAAGAAGATGAAGATGAAGAAGGAGATGAAGGTGTGGGTTGGGTCATTTCTTCTTCTTCTTCTTATTCTTCTTCACGTCTATAAAGTCTCTGCCTCTCTCACTCTCATATTCTTTCATTCTGGATTGGCGTTGAGAAGTTTAATCTATTTTGTTTTTTTATTTCTTTTCTCTTACACACTTTCGTGAATGTCCAGAAGGCTACAGTTTTCTCACACGTGGATTGGCGGTTGATTAATCCGTTTCGTTTTTCGGTAACAATAATCCAGGACACCAAATTTATACACTAAATTTGAGTCCCAAAAAAACAAAATTCATCGGGTAGATTAAAGAACAAAATTTAGAGTCCGTTTGGTATCCTATTAAAAATATAAATTAAAAATAATAATTTCTTTTAAAAACATGAATTTTCAAATACTTAATTTACGATATAAAAACTTTTTTGGTATGAAACTTCAAAATAGGAGAAGTAATTTGAGTTGGTATGTTGTGTGAGATTGATACACAAATGTTTAAAAGTAATTGAGTTTGAGGAAAAATGACACGTTTATATATTTTGCCAAATTTTATTTAGAAACACAAATCTAACATGATTAGATCAATTTACTAATCAATTAAAATTAGATATATTTTTATGAGAATGTTGACCCGATTAAGATTGACTTTGTAACCAATTTAATTAATACAAGTTGTATTATACAACTAGAGTTTGACGGTTGGATTAGGGCCCACATTGAGTAGGTAGTGTTGGGCTAAAAGTCACTTTACGGCTTTGTTTGGACCCAAAGAAATAAGAGGCTTTTTTTATATATTAGAAATGAGCCCAAAAAATCAGTTAACGAGACGTTAAAATAACGCGAAAACAAACGCGTTGGAGTTACGTTAATTCAAACAGCGCCTTAACTCCCTTTGTGTAAATAAACGTTTAACAGTCGTCTCTTTCTTCTCAATAGTGTGAGAGTAAGGCGCGAAGAGAGTGAGAGAGAGCCACAAGAATGGCGAAATTGTGGGGCGTGCGAAGACTGCCACTTCCACAAACCAAAGGACACGAAGGCAGTGCTAAACGAACAAAGAAAAAGAAACAAAAGAAAGAGTATGCAACTTCTGCAAGCTTTGGTTTTCCATTCTAAATCTCTCATTTTTTATGAGAAATGGGAACCAAGATCGTTAAAAGCTTAATGAGTTTTTGATTTGTATTCAGCAGAGTAGCTACGTTTCTGGGTTTCTCTCTGAGAATCGATCAGAATGGTAAACTTAGTTTACATTTCTCGTTTATATATGTGAATTTTCCATGAAGATGCAGTAAAGGCAAATGCTGCTCCTGATGTGATTTTTTCACAGAAAAATAGAGAATTAGGTGCCTTAGATTGAGAAAAAGAGACTACAGATGGAGGTTTGCATCTAAGAAATTTGGTAGAAAGTTATGTTTCCAAGTAATTGTTCAAACTTTTAGTACACATTCAGAAATAGGCTACATGGACACACATATATAGTCATTAAGAAGACTGCCTGAGTGGTTTTTATATTGATAACTTTGGGGCTAAATTATGAGATCCCATGAGTTTTTTTTTTCTTGGTACCTACTGAACATGTATAGCTTACTATTTGTGGTACATATTATGAAAGCGAAAGAGATTTAAGCTACTTTTACTAACATTCCAGCTTTTCACTGCTTACTGAAAGGGAAAAGAAGGCATTGAACTGATTATGTAGTAAATTTTTTCAACTGCTGCAGGGCAAGCCAGTGACCATTGTTGTTGGTTCTCAAATTTGGGTTGAAAATCCAGAATTAGTTTGGATTGACGGAGAAGTAATAAATATTAAGGGAGAGGATGCTGAGATTCAAATTAGTAATGGGAATAAGGTACAGAGTTGTTTTATCTTTTTTTATGATTGGAAGAGTTGTTATTATTTAAATCTGAATCTTTTGGTCTTATTCATTTGTCTTTAAATCCAACATTTTTCCCATCTATTTATCTGGTTTCGGTTTGAAGAAGTTTGGGTGCATTATCTTCGTTGGAATTTGTTTGATTAGTACATGTTTGGATCATAGGATAAAAAGTAGCAGTTTTGAGGCCAAATTTTGTGTTTCAAGCTTGTGATTCTTAACAATTACAGAACATGTCGACCAAAAAAAAAAACAATTACAGAAAATGGCCTTAAACTACTCTTTAAACAAGCTTCTGCATGAGTTTTCTGCATGATTCTTGTTTCTGCTTAGAAATTTAAAGATGTTATTTAAGAAGAAAACGTACCTGCTGTTTAGTGTTGAATGTGTCTGCATCAATGTGGCTTTCCCCTTTTTCCATCAGTTTTCCTTCTCCTCCTCCTCTCCTTCTTCTATATGATTTTTTATATTCTCCTGATCCTGAAAGATTACATAAGCATATGATCCTTGTCATATTTTTGTTTTTCTGCACCAATTTATGCAGTTCTGTTACCCCTTTGGGAGTGACAGAAAATCTCTTCTTCTTGTATAAAAAAAAGGACTCCCTTAAGTCAAGTGCCAAAATTCATTTCATATGCGGCTTTATTGAAATACCAGTTTGTCTATTTCTTAAACTGACCTACTTTCATATTGGTCAGGTCGTTGCAAAGGTGTCAAAAATATATCCAAAGGATATGGAAATGCCTGCTGGTGGAGTTGATGACATGACTAAGCTATCATACTTGCATGAACCTGGAGTTCTTTGTAATTTGGCAACTAGATATGAGAGCAATGAAATTTATGTAAGATTTCTCTTATCTTTAGTTTTGATCAATTAATGTACACCCTGGTGAAGAAAATGATTAATCACTGCAGCTTTGGGCATCTCTGTTATAATACTTTGACATCATGGCAGACTTACACTGGAAACATTCTCATCGCCATCAATCCATTCCAAAGTCTCTCACATCTGTATGATACTGTTATGATGGAACGGTATAATGGAGTGCCATTTGGAGAACTGGGTCCTCATGTTTTTGCAATAGCTGATGCTGCATACAGGTGACCTGTGTTTCTTTTGCATCCTACTTTTTCCTCCTTAAAAGATGATGCAGTTACTTTACTGAATTTTCCAAATCTAACCAGGGAAATGATTAATGAGGGTAAAAGCAACTCTATTCTGGTTAGTGGGGAAAGCGGAGCTGGTAAGACTGAAACAACTAAAATGCTTATGCGCTACCTTGCCTATTTGGGCGGAAATGCTGCAGCTGAAGGACGGACTGTTGAACAACAAGTTTTAGAAGTAAGCTGATTAGCTGAAACCATATTACTGTAGCTAACGTTTTTTAATGGTAGAATGAGATCTGAAGCCTTGCATAAATATCCTTTCCCATCACTAAAGAAAATGATGTTAAGTGCCAATCTTTTAATTAATTAATTTTTTCTGAATTGTGTAATATTTCTTTTATTGTTTTAACTTGTACCCTTCTAAAAAATTTGTTGTTGTAACTGACATGGTGCAGTCAAATCCAGTTCTTGAAGCCTTTGGTAACGCTAAAACTGTTAAGAATAACAATTCCAGGTGAGAAATTGTTAAATGGTTTGAGATTTTTTTTTTGGTGCTGTTTTTGCTGTTGGTACTGTTTTGTTTAATATATTTTGAAAAAAATACGCTTGGCATGTCTTTGGATCTACATGATCTATTTCTAAATCTTTATACCAGACAATGAAATTTCCTAAATAGTTTCTGTACCTACTGTTGTTCTCTTAAATATATTGGTGCAGCCGCTTTGGGAAATTTGTCGAGATTCAATTTGATAAACGTGGTAGAATATCGGGGGCAGCCATCAGAACTTATCTCTTAGAGAGATCTCGTGTTTGCCAAATTTCTGATTTAGAGCGTAACTATCACTGTTTTTATCTCCTTTGTGCTGCTCCGGAACAGGTACATAGCTCAGTTTTCTACTTCAGTGAATATTTTTTATATTTCACAAAATTTCTGGTTGACAGATTTCAAGTGTTATCAGGAAAAAGAGAAGTATAAGTTGGGAGATCCTAAGTCATATCACTATCTTAATCAATCAAATTGCTATCAACTGGATGGTATAAGTGATGAACATAATTATCTCTCCACAAGGAGAGCCATGGATGTTGTTGGAATAAGTGTAGTAGAACAGGTATATTATATTGATTTAAATCTGCATTTGTTTAATGCTAAGTTAAGCATCATTATACAGAAAATCTGGGAATAACTCACTCTGTCTCTCTGTCTCTCTCTGTCTCTCTGTCTCTCTGTCTCTCTCTCTGTCTCTCTGTCTCTCTCTCTCTCTCAGGAGGCTATTTTCAGTGTTGTTGCTGCAATTCTTCATCTTGGTAATATTGATTTTGCCAATGGGGAAGATAATGATTCATCTGTTCTGAAAAATGACGAATCCCTTTTTCATCTTCAAATGACAGCAGAACTTCTAATGTGCGACGCAAGCTTTGCTCTAGACAAAATTCATACTCTTTTTTTTTTTCTGTCAATCACAGTGCAGTTTGCATCTGTCTTATTCGTATATCAGGTGTAATCCTCGTGCACTGGAAGATGCACTGTGTAAGCGTGTAATGGTTACTCCAGAAGAAATTATTAAAAGAAGTCTTGATCCCCATGGCGCAACAGTTAGCAGAGATGGTTTGGCCAAGACCATATACTCTCGTTTGTTTGACTGGTAAGATGCTAGCTTCTGAATCATTTTTACTAAACTGCTTACTGTGGAAATGAAGCATTTAACAATATTGGTTTTTCTATTTGTTTTTTATGTCCAGGTTGGTGGACAAAATCAATGTCTCAATTGGACAAGACCCTAGCTCAAAATGTCTGATTGGGGTCCTTGATATATATGGTTTTGAGAGCTTTAAAACTAACAGGTAATGATTGATTGCCGAAAATGTAGAATGCATAGATATGTTTGGGCCAGGTTCTGTGTTTTATGCATTTAGCATAAACAAAAATACATTCTCATCTATATTTGGTATGCATAAGAAGACCTAATACTACCTAGCATCAGGTGGCGTGAACTTCTGACCTGCACTAAGGTACTTGGGGAATCCTCGGGATATTGCTGAATCCGAATTTACTCAGCTACAAATAATTAGAAAGGAGGATCCCATATTAAATTTAGCTTGAATCCCACTACGTTATTCTTAGTCCTAACTTGATATGTTCCATTAATGCAGTTTTGAGCAGTTCTGTATTAATTACACTAATGAAAAGCTGCAACAACATTTCAACAAGGTATGAGGTTAGTCATACTTGAAAACTTGAGTTTTTAGTCATTCTTTTCAATGTACCATCTAAGTGTTATGATGTGATTCAGCATGTATTCAAGTCGGAACAAGAGGAGTACACTAGAGAGGAAATTGATTGGAGCTACATAGAATTTGTTGATAATAAAGATGTCCTGGATCTCATTGAACAGGTCTTCTTACTCTCTCTCTCTCTCTCTCTCTCTCTCTCTCTCTCTCTCTCTCTCCCCATCTTTCCCCATCCCCCTCCCTCCCTCTAATGTTTTCTCATGTGAACTGGTAAACAGAAAAGCACTTACATAGCTCGTAAACTCTTATAAGTCCTGTCCCCATTGGAGGTGACGCAAGCCAAAACTTTAAAATATTCTAAAAGCAGTGACTTGTCCCTTTTCCTTTGATGCATCATGCCCCACTCATGATGTTAGTCCTTATGAATGATCATATATATGGGACTTCATGTTTGCTGATTTGTATCCCCTATTCTGGAGCCAGAATGTCTTTCAAGCAATGCTAATAATTGGTGAAACTCTGCACGTGTTTCCAAATGTTTCATTTAATCTACTGTCGTGGTTTCATTTTTGTGTATTGCTGATCTGTTCATTCAGCAGTTAAACTACGAGAAAGTAATACTGAATCATCTATATCCACACATCACAATTTAACTAATTGATTCCGCTTCTGCAGAAAAAAGGTGGAATTATTGCTCTGCTTGATGAAGCTTGGTATGAACATCTCTTCATTCTTGGCTGCAATCACACACACACACACACACACACACACACACACACACAAAGAAGCTCCTGCTCAGATGCTTCATTAGGTGAAGTTGGGATGGTAAAATCTCCATGTTCTTGACTGAAATTACACACACACACACACATTCACACAGAGGTTCCTGCTCAGGTACTTCGTATTAAATGAATGGTATATCTCCAGATTTGTATGAAATCCAGAAACTGCTCTATATTTTATCCATTAACTGTTGTTTTCAGTGTAAATTTATAATCCAAGAATGGATTCCACCGTTACATTAAATGTTCTGGCCCTGCTTTTCATGCCCACCACGTTAATCAATTAGATATTTTATGGATGGCCATCTAATCCTTTGAATATCCTTTATGAAACGTTTTTATAAAACTTTAATTCTTTGCACAATTAGATGGAAAAAGGACACATCCAACCATTGTCTAATCAGAATTTTTTTTGGGGGGATAACTTTGTCTCTTTACAGCATGTTTCCAAAATCAACTCATGACACATTTTCACAAAAGCTGTATCAGACATTCAAAGATAACAAACGCTTCATCAAGCCAAAACTGACCCGCTCAGATTTCACCATTGTTCATTATGCAGGAGAAGTGAGCTTGGTTCTTGTATTTTGTTCTGAAATTCATCATCTGTACTGTGGTTTCCACTGAAGTATCCTCACTTATTTTTGCTTTTTATTTTTTAGGTACAATATCAGTCTGATCAATTTCTAGACAAAAATAAAGACTATATTGTTCCAGAGCATCGAGATTTGTTGAGTGCTTCAAAATGCTCTTTTGTAGCAGGCCTTTTCCCTTCACTTACTGAGGAGGCGGCCAAATCTTCCAAGTTCTCATCTATCAGTTCTCGTTTTAAGGTATCTTCTAGTCTGGCTATCTTCTTGTCTACAATTCTGGTATCAGAAAGAAAGAAAATTGCTTACAATTGTTTTGGATTTTGCCCAAGAAATTATTATAAAATTATTCCATGTGTCAAAATGATTTACTGCAGAAAGGTGAAACTTAATTTGTGACCTTATTGATGCAGCTACAACTCCAACACTTGATGGAAACACTAAATGCTACAGAACCCCATTACATTAGATGTATAAAGCCAAATAATGTCCTAAAGCCTGCAATATTTGAGAATATCAATGTCGTGCAACAACTACATTCTGGTGTAAGTACAACGGGAACTGTGTGTACAGTACTATTACTTATTATCAATTAGTGGCATTTATACTTTGTTATTTGTGTAGGGTGTTTTAGAGGCAGTCCGAATAAAATGTGCAGGATACCCTACTTACAGGAGTTTTTTTGAATTTTTAACTCGATTTCGTATCCTGGCCCCTGAGGTTCTAAAAATGGAGTAAGTGCCACCTTATGCTTTCACTTTTAATGTTGTCACATTGTTATCTTCCATATTGTTGTTGGCTTTTCTACTTATTCATGGATGTTTTGGTTATGTTCCCATTTCTGAACTTAATGCCTATATTATCAGCTTTCCTGAAAACGAAGCCTGCGAAAAGATTCTGGAGAAGATGGGGCTTAAAGGTTATCAGGTAATAAGAACCATTACTTCGTATCAATCACTCTTATGTTGACAAACACAAGATTCACAACAGAAATTTCTGGAACTCCTACTTGGCTTTGCCTTGGTGGTAAACCACAATTGCAAAGCAAGCTCCTAACCTATGACTATTGTTGACTGAAATAGCTATGATACGGAACCCAATGAAAATAACAAAAAGAAGAGGGAAAGATAGAAACTCAAGACCGAAAATTCTTTTGTAATTCAATAATGGAGTTTCCTCAAAACAGCTGCTTCATGGCCTATTTATAGGGCCAGTCTGAAAAATCACATCAAAATCAAATATTATGTCTTTAACTTGCAAGATATCTTTTCTTTTTTTTTGGGGTGTTTTTAACAAGACATCATATATATTCAACTAAGTTGTAAATAGTTTTTTTTCAGATAGGGAAAACAAAGGTTTTCCTAAGAGCTGGTCAGATGGCTGAGCTAGATGCAAAGAGAGCACTCATGCTTGGCGACTCAGCTAAGGTGATTCAAAGGCGAGGCCGAACTCATATTACTCGTAGAAAGTATGTTTCTATACAGGAGGCTTCTATTTGTGTACAATCATTTTGCAGAGGTGAGTGCAAAAAAGAAGAGGAAGCCTATTTGCCTCTCTTTTTCAAAGGCAAAATCCTGAAATTTTTCAGCTGATTGAATGTATTTTGAAGGATTTGGTTACAGTGTGATCCCCGTCCCCCTTATTCATTTATGTAATTTTCCATTACCCTATCAGTTAGTGCTCTTGTCAGCTATGTATACTAACTACCTTTATAATTGGCTGCATATACTAGCTAATTTTATATATGCTATTTCACAAGTATTTCGTTGTTATGATTCAGGAGAATTGGTTCGCAAGTTATATAAGCTCAAGAAGCGGGTGAATGCTGTAGTTAAAATTCAGAAGACTGCACGTAAACGCCTGGCGAGAAAAGACTATATCAAAATCTTGTTCTCTTCAGTTGTCTTACAGACTAGTTTACGGGCAATGGTTGCTCGTGATGAACTTAGATATAGGGTTAAGGTTGCAATTATTATTCAGGTGATTACCCAGCTTCTTGTGTTGCTAACTTGATATATACATAGTTTGTTGCTTTTTGGATTTCCCAAGAACTTGTGTTAATGCCTGGCGAGAAAAGACTCAAATTCATGATCTCTTAACTGTCTTGCAGACAGGTTTACGGGCAATGGCTGCTCGTGATGCTTTTAGATATAGAGTTAATGCGGCAGTTATTATTCAGGTGATCCTGCTTCCTTTTCGCTATAATACATAGTTTGTCGCTTTTCACATTCTCAAAGAATTTGCGGATATACCGACAAGAAAATCTCAAAACCGAGTTCTCTTCAATTGTCTACAGACAGGTTTACGAGCAATGGCTGCTCGTGATGCTTTTAGATGTAGAGTGCAATCTAAGCCGAGAGTTATTGTTCAGGTAATTACCTAGCTTCCTCTGTGGTTTTTTTTTTTTTTTTTTTTTTTTTTTTTTTTTTTTTTTTTTTTTTTTTTTTTTTTTTTTTTTTTTTTTTTTTTTTTTTTTTTTTTTTTTGCAGGAAAATTCGCTTCAACATAGTTCTGGGCAAAAATGAATCTTGTATTTCGTTAATTAGTTGAGTGAATGCAACTCAATATATATGTATATATACATACATATATATAGTGTTCTCAAAATGAGAGTACAGACTACTATCATACTATCTACAAGATCAGAAGCATCATGCTAGGTAATCCCTTTCAAGTTCTTTTACTGAAAATTTTAGATAATTTGTGCAGACTGACTTGGAAAAAGCAGAAGGAGAAGAGGCAACAAAGTTGGAGTCCTCTGTGCAAGCTAATGTAAGCAAAGTTAATGAAACAAATGTGTTGTTTGAATGTCTCGTTACAAAGGTAGAAACTGAAGAAGTATGCCCTATTCTCAAAGAATTCCTATGTCATGATCCAAATGCTGAAATCAATGGCCCAACCATAATGTTGCACCAAATATCTCTGCTTTTAAATTCTCGTAAAGAAATCAATGACAAATGACTATTATACTTCATACAAAATCAGAAGAATCATGCTAGGTAATCCCTTTCAAGTCTTTGGTGAAACAGACGTGTCATCTAAAATTCTGGTTTCACAGATAGAAATTGAAGATATTACCAAAGAAATCCCAAGTCCTGAAAAAAATGCTGAAAAGATCAAAATTCTTACTGCAGAAGTTGAAAATCTGAAGGTAATGATTATTGACCCAATAGCTTAGAAATTGCCATTCTTCTAGATTTGTTCCATTATTTTTCTCATCGTAAACTGGTTTAGGAATTATAGCACCTACAAATTAATGATCCATCTCTTTTCACATAGGCCATGCTGCAAGCAGAAAAACAAAGAGCCAATGAGTGTGAAAGGAGATACGTAGAAGCCCGGGTATCAAGTGAGGAAGGACGTAAGAAGTTAGAGGAAACTGAAAGAATAGTACATCAACTTCAGGACTCTTTGAACAGGTAGTACTCGTTGATGCGCTTACGAATTATACTCTTATAATTTTTTCATTTCTCCCTTTCATCTTGTGCATGGATTACATAGAACTGAATATGGTATTTACTCATCAAGTTGACTTTCCATTGGGTCAAAGAGGCTCGATTGTGAACCTGACAAACTTGGAATCTATGATGTAATTTGCAAATGAAATATATGACTAGTTCTAAGTGCTTGTATTAGGATTTAAGTATATAGTTTTTATATGTTAGGAATAGAAAGAAAATATATATTTTGAAGCGTCTTATAGGTTTTTAAAAAAAAATTTCAATTCGCAGTCATTGAAATGAGTTTCCCAGTCTAAATTACTTTCGACTATCAAATAAGATACTTTTTCTCTGGGTACATAGGTCAAATTATTAGCAATATGATTTTGGTTTTGTTATGGGCAACTCAAAGCCTTGTAATTGCATATAGCGAAAAAAATTTGAAGGCCCTCTTCATATGGCAATAATGAGATTATTTTATATGAATTTGGTTATATAGCTTGATTTGGTGCGTCTTACCTGCTGAAAAAAAAAAACACAATTTCCTACTTGCTCGTGTGCCCCATCAGTTTAACCCATTTTGTTTGTTTGAAGTATTTCCTGCAATATATAGTTTATAAGTGAAAATCATTTTGAGAAAACGAATGACATGAGAATACCAGAGAGAGGCAGCATTTCAATGATGCAAACATTACTTCTAACTTATTTAGATTTCTACATATATGAAAAGTTACAATTATTCTGATGATGTTTGTAAAGCTGCTCATAAATCAGTTGACTAATTTTAGATATGATCTAGTGTGTTTCAGGATGATATATTGCATGTCAAACCAAGTTTCGGAACTGAAAACAATCTTATCTACCGCATCCAAATCAAGTTCAACAACTGCAGGACCTTTTGTTAGACACGAAGGGTTCGATAGCATTTCCAGTAACTCTGAATGTTCATCCACTGACTCAGATTTTACTTTTCCAGCTCCAACTCCAACCTCAGCTAACTTTTCTTCCCCCTGCACCAATTCTCTCAAGCTCGTAGTTCAGGACATTTCAGCCGGAGATGTTTCAGGTTAGTTAGCTGTGTGTATTTTGATTTTCTGGCTATATGTACTTTATAATCCAGAACGAGCATCAATTTTCTAAGTGAGTGTGCAACTGATCCCACTATGTAACTGATTGTACCAAAGACAATGATCCTATCATACATAATATGTGTAGTGTTCCTATGGTGAAATTACTTCGCTGCAATTAAGCGCAATCTAGATCAGCTTGTTGCCACCTCTTTTTATGTGAGAAAAGCACTGATTTTGTCAGAATATTTTCAATTTCTAAAAGATACCCTCATTCAGAAATCATTTCCTTGCACATCATGTTATCTCCTTTTAACTTTGATAAAAATGGTTTATGTTTATAACTTATAAGTTATGTTTCTTTGTTTTATGTTTTCCTTTCCCTCGATGATACTTTTTGCAGGATCTGAAAGTGAGAAGGAGGAGGGGGGGGCTTTTGACGACTTCTTCTGACGGAGCCTGTTCTAATTATTTTTCTTCTTTCTTGCTTAGATATGGGTCTCTCATAAAACGTCAGACTTTTGGCACTGTATATAGGACACCAGACTTGAACATATCGTCCCGTATGCTTCATACAGGATCATAGATCGACAAATTTCTCTCAGGAAGCTGTAGATCATTTAGTCAGGTAGTGTTAGCAAAGGGGTCAAATGTAGTAAATTTTAGAGTAGTATGTAGTTTGACCTCATCCACTAACATACTTTGTGATTTCACTTTGCCCTGATAACTGGCCATGGGCTTATCGTGCGTAAATGTTGATCATAAAACTCTCTTGAGTAAGTTCATTTTCTTCTGCGTTGTCTTTGTAGACTTTACTTTTTATCCTGTTCAAATGTAATGGGACCTCCATCTCAACTTGAGAAGACAAAAGACCACTTAACAAGAAGCAGCAAGCTAATGAGGAGTTCGCCATCAATGTATAGCCCAAGGGCAGAAGTATTTGCTGCCTTAGTTTTTTGTTTTTTGTTTTTGTTTTTTTTTGTCTTTCTTACTTTAGCATTTTAGTCATGAATCAGACAACATGGCCTTTAGCTAATTGGCCGTCAGTGTAATTAACTTTAATTATGAGTTAACGTGTTGATTTTAGGGGTTGAGCATATATAGTAGTGCTTGGCGTTTACAAACAGAGTGTGTTGTGTGTGTGTGTAATATTCAGATCAAGCCAAATCTAGTGCCAAAATGTTTTGCTTTTCTAATTTTTTTTTCTTTCTAAATAACCTGCATTGTTGGTTTACATTTGGCCGGAAGAATGTAAGTGATCGAAGCCATTTGCATTCCTAATATATTAACCATTAAAAAAACGACTTTATTTTTTTCTTGTAAAAATTTCGGAGGAGAGGCAAAAAATGAGGGGAAACCACCTAAATTTCAGTAAAACTACCCCGAAACATCGATCTACTAGGCTTTCCTTTGTTCCAAACTGCGGTATATGCATATACATAAGAGGCTTCCTATATGTTATAGCTTGGATATCAAATTGTGAACTTTAAATGCATTTAAAATAAAAAAGAAAATGTTTCAAATGAATCAAATTCTTTTATTATTGAGACATACACCTTTATAAATAAGACATTGTAATATAAAAAGTTAAATTTGACAACAAAAAATTCTAAAAAGTCAAATGTTGTTTCGAAACTAAATTGCAGGAAAACATCTAATTGTGATTTTTTTTTCTTTCACTTTTTCCATTTTAACTCCAAATATATATGTAAATAAATTCTTATGCATACAAACTCCTATCTTTGTACAGTCTTCATACGAATTGGCGCACCCACCCAACCCTCAAGTACGTAGAGAGCTTTTATATATTTCATGCTTTTACATATATTCCCATATTCCTATTTCCCACTGATCACAAGCCCCTAGCTTAGCTAAGCTAGTTTCCCATCTCATCATGTATATATGTCTGCAGGTATAAGGCAAATTTTTGTCGATGTCACCCTAGAATTGGCAAAAAGTTAAAACACTGACTTTTTAAGTTTCTACACTTTCATTGCTAAGTAACATCCAGATATAGTAGCAGCATTTTGCACATCAACCACACTACACATCAAATAGGATCTGAGCATTTTCTGCTTCTTGTTTCAGTCTTAGCCCACTGAAATATCAGTGAGTCTCTCTCTCTCTCTCTCTCTCTCTCTCTCAAGCTGTGAAACTAAAAGATGGGTTTTACCATTTTACATGGATAACGTGTTAATTTGTTTTGATGTTTGTAGCTAGGGTGGAGGACTGGACTTAATAGTGTCATATGGAAATGCCCATTTGAGTTCAAGATCGATCAAAGAGGAGGAAGAAAGAAAAATGGACTGTATCAACTTCAGCTTCGAAGGAGAAAATTTATGTGATATTTCGTGGGCTGCAAAAAATTATGCATGCAGCTTTTGCAAGAGAGAGTTCAGGTCTGCTCAAGCTCTTGGGGGTCATATGAATGTCCACAGGAGAGACAGAGCTAGGTTGTTGAGACTCCTCCCTCCAGGCCTTTCTTCAGAAATATGTCCGCATAACCCTAACCCTAGCTCTTATTTTTCTCCCTCTTCATCATCATCATCCTCTCTTTCATCCTCTAAGGGCTTACCACACAATTACTCATCATGTCACTCCTTGCTTTCTCCTTCTTTGAGGGCTTTGATGTCTGCAACTTCATCTACAGATGGAAACAAGAAACCGAAATTCAAGTACAACTTTCCTCAAAATCATGTTCCTAATTTGATTCCCAAGAAAGGCAAGAGAGGTGCTGTGGATCATGAGGCTGGAGAAATATTGAAGGGTTTTGCACAAAAAGATCTGGATGATGAGTTCAACAAGGTTGATGATCTGAAGAAAGAGAGTAATATTATTAGGCTGGACTTGGACATGGGGTTCTTCAAAGATCACAAGGAGGAAGTGGATTTGGAACTTCGACTTGGGCATCTGTAGGTGCAAAACTTCGCCTACTTGTGTGGGAGTTTAGATTTGATTTTATGCTGCACTTTATTTTTAAAATGAAATTTTATTTTCCCCTTTCTTCTTAATTAGCTACCCAACAATGAAATCAGAGATGCTTTGAGAAGGTTAATTTTTGTATGGATCTAATATGACTATGCAAACCCTTCTTTTTTGCTGTTTCCTTTGTCAGTTCGTTTGTTGATTTAAGCAGTTTCTAGTTTAATTAATCTTGAAATTTTCAGTTTTTATTGTTCTAATTCCTCTAGTAGTAAAGTGGGGTTACCGGTCCTTTTTCTGGTGAGCGTGCAATAGAGTTGAATGATCTGCAGCTGTCTCATATGTTTGAAATACCATTATCATTCGTTGTTTCAAAGAAAAAGGATGGTTGCATAGTTGATGTTCTCTTGTGATTGTTCAAAGATGTATAGCATATCGAAAGAAGATCCTTTTTTTTTCATAAATTTTATGGGCCAGAAAAGCTTTGATTCAGAAGAATTATTTCAATAGTTTCTGCAAGCTTATAACCTTGGAGCTCTATCCTACGTGAACAAATAGTGGTGAGGAGCACAAGTTTGATGATATAAAAACTGCATACTGTGTCAAAACTTGTGTCAAATTTGTGGTGCCACGGATTCGCCATATATATATATATTTGTTTTATGGGTTTACTTAGTTGGTTATTAATATTCAATTATTCCAAGGTTTAGTTAGCAAAGTTGGATATGCATATCAAAGAAAAAGTCAATATAATTACAATCAGAATTTCAGAAATGGGGCACTATCTATCAAACGAAAGCTTGAACTTGAAGGTGCTGAAGATTTTTTAAGGCTACGCATATTTGTTTTATGGGTTTACTTTGTTGGTTATTAATATTCAATTATTCCAAGGTTTAGTTAGCAAAGTTGGATATGCATATCAAAGAAAAAGTCAATATAATTACAATCAGAATTTCAGAAATGGGGCACTATCTATCAAACGAAAGCTTGAACTTGAAGGTGCTGAAGATTTTTTAAGGCTACGCATACAGAAGAAGAAGCTGAACTCATCTGGCTTTAACCTTTTTTTGTAGTTTACAAAGAGAAACTTGAAGTGATCATAAATATGAGAGCTGGACCTGCAGACTTCACTAAATTCAAATGTTTTCATGAAAACATACAAAGAAGAAATTAAAGTTTTCACAGTAAAGATATTATATGTATGGCAGCAAGATGTCATGCATGACTTGTCAGGACTCAGGCAGGAGGGAACATTAACATGTAATATCTGTATCATGATTTGATGCCTAGCTACGTCAAACATATCGATCACAATATTGTCAAAATTAATGTAAAAGGAAAGACATTAATTAATTCATAGATTTTGATTGCAGCGCATATCAAATATATTGACCTCACTCTTGCAATATACTGTCATGTGTTTGCCTCTCTCTCTCTCTCTCTCTCTCTCTCTCTCTGCTGCAGAGAAGATGAGGGAGATGTTTGACCCAAAAAAAAAAGGGGAGATAGATATCAATATCATCATTTCGTCTCAGATATCAGATATTTCATTTTCACAACTTCTGATCTGTTCGCATGTTCCCCAAACCCTGGTCTCAGTAAAGACATGATGGCCTTTCCTTATTTAGAAGCACATAATTTGGTCACTCCAAGCAAAACAAGGTAAAAAATAAAAAAAAATAAAAAAATCAATGGGGTTTTTTATTTTGGGTGGTGAAAAGGCAATAAATAAATTAAAGACTGACTGTGAATTGTGGTGATGGGGGAAGTTGGAGATTGAAATAAGGCCAGTAAAAAGGTGTGTAGAGAAGAAGAAGGTAAAGAAAATGGACATGTGGGTGTGAAGGACAGAACCTACCAAAGTGTATGTTTTTGTGAAAGATGAGGGCATGGGATAAAGTAATAAGGCTAGTCGGCGCACGTCACCATCCCCACCCATTCAATTTCATGCCCACCCCTTGTTTCTTTCACTCAACTTAAAGCCTCCTCCTGCCTCTTGCCTCTTTCTTTCTCCATTCATTATATTTTTTCAAAAAATAAAAATTACTTTTCTTTTTCATAAAAGGTTTCTTATGGGATAGCTAGATATTGGGTTGGGTTGGGCTGGTCTAGGACCAGATTGCAATATTGAGCAACTTGTCAGCAAGAGAGAGTTGGGCTGGTCTGGCACCATATTGCAATATTGGGAGTGGCAAAGCGAACCTCTTTGTAATTTGGAAAATCTCTACGAAAGGAATCAAATGCGGAATTGTGTGCTCCATTGACACTGAAAATGGACTGCAACAGGATATATGCTATTTTATTTAGAACAGCAGCTAAGGAGCTTCATTAGAATGAACTCACAGAGAGAGAGAGAGAGAGAGAGAGAGAGAACAAAAACAATTGGACCAAAATCCATTTCAACAGTATGGCCGCGCGGCTATATTCCTTAAATTTTTTAAAAATATATTTAAAGCGTATAGCCGTGCGGCTATACTCCTTAAATAAATAAATAAAATATTTAAGGCGTCTAGCCGGTCGGCTATACTCCTGTAATTTCAAAAATATATTTAGAGAGTATAGCCGCGCAGCGATACTTCTTAAATAATATACATATATTTAAACCATATAGCCGCGCGGCTATACTCGTTAGATTAAAAAAAAAATATTTACCTAGTATAGCCGAGCGGCTATACGCTTTAAATAAATATATAAAAAATTTAAAGAGTATAGCCGCGCGGCTATACCCCTTAAATAAATAAATAAATAATATTTAAATAGTTTAGCAGCACAGCTATATTCTTTAAATAAAAGAAATATGTTTTAAGAGTATTATAGTTAAAGATTATGGACACGTGATTATACTCTTTAAATAAAAATATATATTTAAAAAATATAACAACGCGACTATACGTTTTAAATAAAAATATATATTTAAAACATGTAGCCTTTAAATATGCGAATTGAATAGGCTAGCAAAATGAAATGGAAAAAAGGAGTATTCGAATATCGCTTGTATTAAATAAATATAACAAAAAAACAATTAATACGTCAGAGTGTCCCTATATTTTGGTCTAAGATATTGTGGTCTTAAGAATATTTACTGAGCAAATTAATCTGACTTTCTGTCAGAGTGTCCCTATATTTCGGTCTAATTATCCTTTTTGGTCTAAGATATTGTGGTCTTAAGAGTGTTTTAGACCCACTGAGCAAATTAATCTGACTTTCTGTCAGAGTAAATTAGTGGTTATTTATTCATATTTTCAAAATCTCTTGACCACCTAACACATACCATTTTAAAAGTGGGACATGTTTGCTCTTTTTTTCCCCAAAACAGAAGAAAGTTTCTCTCCTCTCTCTAGATTCAGTTTGAAAGCTTGACTATTTGTGAATGTTCCAAACTGCAAACACCAAAGTCCTTTATATTCGGTCCAACCAGAACCAGCAGCTTGAGCAAGAAACTCAAATAAAATTCCAAAAAACTTATTCTATATGTTTTTGATGCAATGGGTCTGAAAGGTGGTGAGTCAATGCTTGACTGGTTGGCCGTCTGCTGACTTTGGTTTTCTAATTTTTGTGAATGTTTATGTATGGGCTTCTCTCTTCCTTTTTGGGCTTTCAATATTGTTTTTGTGAGCTTACATTTTAGTACAAGTGACTCTAAATTAGAACTTACACGGTTATAAATAAAGAAATATGTGCAGTGGTAATGAAGTTTAAGACTTTGATTCAGTCAAGGCAATAGAGGATTAGCAAAATCTTTTTTTTTTTTCAACAAATAATTAAAGGCAACAAGCAAACAAACAGAAAAGGTTATCCAAATCCAAATTAAAAAGACACAATGATTTGGTCGAGAATTAAAGTCTGTTGCCTCACTACTCACGTTGTTGTTGTTGTCCTTGTTCATCATCATGTTCTTGCTTTGTCCATGTATATATATTCCTATCTTTTCCTCTTAAAGTTTTCCTAGAGACTGGGTCATAATCATATTCTTATAATTCCTCAAACTCATTTTATTCTACTTCAAGACAAAATTAAACGATAAAGATTTGAAATCAAATGGGGCTATGTCTCCTCCACTCATTCTTTTAAACCCACTGTGCACCTTTTTGTCGCCTAAATTATTCCTATTTTCACTTGGGAAAATGTATTTTTGTACATATATATTGAATACATAGTATAACTAAGTAGAAGGTTGTATTGTAGACATGGGTTTAGGTCAGTTAGCCAAGGCTGTATGCCAGTCTCGCTCAAGTTCAATCTTCCTTCTTGTATATTAGGATAGTTTACAATATCGCTCTCTCAAAAAAAATGGATAGTTGTAACTTGTATCATAAATAGGTTCATAGTAAAAGCGTGGAATGAATAGGTTGTCTTTGTCCACATAGCGGCCAGACAACATGTTCATGTACATAGAACAAATTTCATTTTCTTTCATTTCTGCTGCAGAAGCATCCTTAAGCACTGCAATGATCCAGTTAACGTGGGTGAGAAATCGTGTCCTAGATGGTTAATTGCGGAGTTAATGTAGTTTGGTCTAATATTATATTACAAATTGAGAGACTTAATTAGGCACGACATCTCAGTCCAGTCATTTCTCATGTAACCTGCTACACTAATTTAATATTTCGGCCTGCATACTTATACCTATTTTAATAAATACATATATATATGGCTCACAATAAACCTAAGGGGCTTAATTAAATTGAGGAATCAGTGTGACACAACAAATTTAATGGTTGGATTTGACACAAACATTTGGTATAAATGAAGTGAATCCATCCCCGAATGTATTGTCCGTGACGTATCATTCAATTTATTAAATCCCTTAGATGAGTACAATATTATACAAACACATATAAAGTTTAAATCCCTTACAGGAGTTTGTTGGCTTTCCAACTTTTTCTTAACCTCTCTTAAAACAGTAATCAAACGAAATTAGAACCATAAGCTTCAAGTAGGTTTTATCATCAGCCACGTACTTGATGATCTGAAATTAGCATGATGTTGATCGTGATGACATAGATATAAAGCTGATGTGTTTATATATATAAATATATACGTACATAACATATATGGTGTAAAAAGTTACACTTGCGTACAACTATAAGCTCCAAAAAAGCACTGTTTCTTAATTATTATCTTATCACGCAGAGGAAGGAAGGTTCCTCCATCTTTCCTCACGAATGCGTTAAGCAAGATCAGCATGAAATACTGTTCTTGTTCAGTTTTCTATCAAACCCAACTAGGGGGGGGAAAAAGTGTTCTTTATGTCCATCGAGTACGTATAGTTCATTGCTGAAGCCTGTGCCATGTCATCATCAAACTTGACCATGGTTTAATTAGTCACTAATTCGGTAAAGACGACTCTATTGATATATATTATATACTATTTTCTATTCTAAACAAAAACAAATTGTGTTTACATAATATTATCATCAGGTGCATTAATCAAAACGGTCCGTTTCTGGTTGGAAAATGTGTTTTTACTAACTACCTTATTGTAACTCCCAAAGGTCAAAAGTAAATTTCTAGGAAAGATATTGGGTAAATGATAATTAAGTTGATAACAATGTGGAAATTAACCATACATTACATACATGTATGAGTGGAATGCACCTGTAGAAGAAGGTTTTACAATATGATGATTTATTACTGTCCTTGTGTATCAAGAGATAGAAATAGATAATCTTATTTCATTAGCATTAATCATACGTTAAATTGTCAAGCACATTGGGCTATTGGGGTATAGCTCAGTTGGTTGAGCTGATCTTCCACCTCTACCTATGTGGGCAGAATTCAAAACCCCGATACACCCAATAAATTTTTGTGTAAATCCCCTTTCCCCCAATCGCTTGTACTTAAAAAAAATTGTCAAGCACACTGGTTTATTCAAATGTTTAGTATAAGTCATGTATAATATACATATTGATTAGTATCCATCTAACAACATATTTTAGGTTGGGTACTTCAATATGGTATCTTAAGATGAATATAACACTATAATAAATAGCATGGTATATATTTATATATTGTGTGCTTTCTAAGGTTATAAGGTAGAGAAACTAGAGAGAGATGACAAAGGAAGACCGCTCTCTAATCATGGATAAGGAACTAGATATAAAAAAGAAAAAAAAGAAAAGAAAAGGGAAACCGTGTTTAATTAGTGTTAAACAAGAAGAATAAATTTGCAGCCGGCTTAACAGAAAGCTTCTCTCAGCAAAGCTCTAAGACTTTTCCCCCACAACACCTTCACTCCAAAGTTCCAAAACTCTCATAGACAATACCTATGTCTTGTGCTTGTCTCCTGTCCCCCACCTCCACCAACACCAACTCTCTATAAACCACTCCCTAATTAATTTCCTATTCCATCCCAATCATATATATCCGAAGAAACCAAAACTTGAAGAAAAAAAAAATTAGCTAGAGGAATTCTTCAAGCTTTCCTAGCTATGGAACATCATGATCATCAAGATTCAAAGAGCTCTAGCACTGATGAAGAAGCTGATCAACGATCCGATGCGAACAATGGTGTGGGCACCGGGCGGTCCTATGAGTGTGTGTTCTGCAAGAGAGGGTTCACAACAGCGCAGGCCTTGGGTGGACACATGAATATCCACCGCAGAGAGAGAGCGCCCAAGACCAGGCCTAGCTCAGCTCCTAATCTGAGTTCATCCATCAGCAAATCAGTAGATGATCATAACCATCCGGGTTTAAGATCCTACCGTGAGATTCAAAGCTACCCTCCTCATTATTCAACGGCTCCTGATCAAGATCAGGTGGTGGTAGATCACCATGTGAACTATAGAACATTTATGCCGGCACCTACGGGATCATGGGTTGTGAGGCCTTCTCCACATGCAAATTATGTTAGCGAAGAGGACTTGTGTGCAAGAAATTATATTCCAAGGCACCGGAATCTGTTGACAGATGATCATCGGGATTGGAGATCGGGGAGCAGTTTGAGCTTGGGAATTGGCAGGCCATCGCATGATTTAGACAACAACAAAGACAGAGTGGCTAATGGTGCAGGCAGTGATGAAGAATTGGATTTGGAGCTTCGACTTGGTCACGATCCCTTGTATAATATCAAAGATTAATTGAGAGAGCACAATTAGATTTTATAACTTCATATATTTTGTACAGTTATGAATTAATCTGTACATTTTTTTTTCATATGTTTCTTTTGTGATGGGAAAGAAAGAGAAGTTATTAGAATATCTCAAATATATCCCAATTAAAGAACAGTTCTGTGTGTTTTCCAAGCCTGTTTTTCATGGCAATCAATTTAGTCTTGTCTGCTGGATTTAAAGGCTGGGAGAAGGAGCTATAGCAAATAAAGAAGGTATATTTTGCTTCTTCCATATCTTCATAGCTAGCCAGCTAGCCCTAATTTTTGTTAGGGTTCTGTGAGATGTTTTCTTATATATATGTAATACATGCCTTCTTCTTCTTCCATCCATTGTATTTCTTAGCTCCAAGTTTTGCTTATAGAAAGGGATTGGAATTTTTCTAGTTATTTCAGAATTTCATAATCAATTAGCTTGAATGCTATTGCTTACTATTCACCTATAAATCAGTTATGTTTTTATTTTCTTTTGAGAAATGGAATGAACGACGACACCGGAACTCCAGCAAGGAAGCTTTAGCCTAATTCATTGTTCAAGTACATGTCAAAGCTCTCAACCCCATTTTCACCATATATTTATCAGGTGAGCCCCGAGTTTTTAGATTAAACTTATATGCTAATTCATTGTGTGTGTATATATACATATATATATTTACATCTTCTTCATTCGTATCGCTTTCTGTTAAGATCCTAGCTAGCCAATTATGTGTGTGAGTGCACGTTTACACATACAGACATCTTGGGGGGTAAAACATCCATAATTAAACAGGAAAATGTTTCCAAGTTAACTGATTTCAAGATGGTAAACCAATCAGCAGTCTTAAATAAAGTAGTTACCCTAAAGGAATGACATCAAAGTCTGAACATATATATAGTTGTCCTATTAGGGTTTTCAACTGGGATTTTAGTGTCACTCTCCTCTACAGTACACTAATCAGTTTTCTATATGAAAGTTGGGGATCAAATCGGAAACTTGGCACTGTTTCAGACTGCAGAATATTTCACCTGATCAATAGCAAGAAGCATGCTTATTATTGTTAATTAAGGCTCCAATAGATCATGGTTCTCTTCATTTATAAAAGCCTATATGTTTGCATGAAATAATATAAAATCTGTACAATAAAAAAGATTGTTAACCAGTAAGAATTTTGTAGCATTTTCGATCGTTACAAGAATGCCCCTTAGCCTAGATGTTATATATATGAAATCTCCAGAGTTTGAAGTTGGCCGGATTGTATATAACACGGCAGAATTAGCTGCTGCTGGTGATCCCTGCAGCAATAGTATTTGCATGCATTTAGTTATATTATATATATGTTCTTTATAGTGCAAATTATTGTCCCCATATTGAAAAGTTGGAGAAACTTTGCAAATGGCTTATAATGAGTTGGGCCGCTCACTCTATTCCGATTGAATTTGAGGTTGGAACCTCTACTTTTTCATGTGTGTATGACATGATTATCATGTTCGTACTTTACAAAGTAATATTTTTCTAGCCCTTTCGATAACTTCAGGTATTGATATTCTTGTGTGATATTGTACCAATTATACTTTCTTTTTTTGGCTGAGAAGAAAGAATGAAGCAATTGTAAATATTGGATGCTGGATATTAATTAAATATTCTACATGATCAGCTAGCCAGCATATATAAAGAGAAACCTGACTTGATCAAATGGAAGTTGAAGATTTTTCTGCATGCAGGCCATGGGGGCAATGGAGAAGAATGGGTTTGACCTAATCTTGAACCGCAACCAAAACAACACATGTTCTACTTTAAAGCAAAGAGTACCAAGCCTGCAGGAAAGGGCTAAATAGTTTGGTCTTGCCTCGTCAAGGCCAGCATGTACAGCTGGACATTGATACTTATATATATATATATATATATTTCTTTTGTTTGTATTTCTCCGTTTTGAGTTGATTACATGAAGATTTTTTAAAAAAAAATACAAGTGATAGTCTAAACTACAAGGAGAGGGGGTTTCTCACACACTCACTAATTTGCAAATCAAGACCTTTCATTGAGCTAGACCCCATTGACGAAGATCTCTTTAATTAAACCAATATTGTCCTAAACAAATATGTGAAGTTGGCAACAATCAACTGCATATTTGTACTTTGGTTATATCTTAAAAGTTCAAGTATTTTTAGACTTCTAAGATTAATTGACTTGGGTGCTTGCAAGAACTGAAATGAATGGCCATGGCCTAAACCCTTCCATCTGACGACCACTTCTTCACCTTAATCTGATTGGGAATTTCAATTCTGACTCGTACAAAAATAATATTTTCCTTTTGCTTTGCTTTGAAGTGCCTCACGACACGAGGTATAATTTCTGATCACAATGAACAGTAGGCCAACTTGATATAGAAACCCATTTGACAATGCCATACAATTAGGCAACGGCACATAAAGCTAGGTTTCAAAACAATTGTTTCAACCTCACGAATTTTGTGCCTAAATTACAAGCTTCGTTTACCTCTGCAGTTAAATATAACTCAGAAAAACAATAACCTCTGGCTTGGCTTTGGCTTGGGGTGGGGGTTGATGAGGCGGTTCAGGCATTTAACTCCTCTATTTCATACATTTAAATATAAACATACCAGAATATCTTACAAGCACAAGGTAAACATTGATTACAGTCAAGAGCAAGGTCTTCCATATTCAACTTAAAACTAGTGGCTGTATCCAATCCATCATGGATCAGTTACCTAGTGAGATAGTATATAACTAGGAAAATGACCACAAAAGATGCCACTAGTGTAAACATTCTCTGGCTTGACTTCGTCTCGAAAACCTGAACAAAATGAAAACACGCCATGAATCAGATGGGGACCCTTAGAACGATAAACGAAGGAAAGGACCCGATAATTTCAGAAAAGAGAAGGATAAATTTGGAAAGGTAAACAACAGCCTAGCAAATAGCACACATACCATCTTGAACTTGTCCATTGTACCAGACAGCACTCCCCTTGATGAATCCATATCGTTTCCCTGAATTAGACAGCGTACATAATAATAAATCACATATAAACAAGATAAAGCATAGCCTGGCAGGAAAAATGTGAACTATAGAGAAAAGGATGTATTAGCTGCAGCATATGTACCATTCTGTCCAACATGTGATTATGACTCTCCACCTCCTCATGTATATCACCTGACAACTGTTTTGAAAGAAATGAATTAGGAATAGACAACACGATATAAAAGTCTATGGGACTAGAACTACAAAACATCAGTGGGCATCTTTAAGCAAGAGTTTGCCAAATCTAGCTTATAACTTCACAGACAACACTAGAGGATTCTGAGACAATCATTATGTTTAACAGGGGATGTCTTATTAACAGTGAAAAACAAGGAAGCCAAGCACTCATGGAATCCCTCATTCCTATTAGAAATATTTCATGGTTGCAGTATTTGTTTACCATTAAAGCAAAGGTAAACATCAATAAATTATGCAAGAAAACTTTAACCAAGAACCATACTACAAAATTCAAAAGCTACATTTTTCCTTCTCAACCTATTGAAACATTTGGAAGAAGCATACACTAACTAGACAACAACACAAAATGATATAGATATTGTGACCTAAAAAATATAGGTATGAAAGGCAGTTGGGAACTGCCACAATCACAATTGCAGTGTGACTTTCAAGTTTCCAGGCATTACAAGACAAGGGGGCTTACTCTCTTCAGCAAATTGACTCTATCTTGCAATCCGTCCACTGCTCTTTCATTATCATGTTCATCAATTTCATGGGAGTAGGAAGCCGAGGCCCTGATGCCACCCTCCTCAATGCCATCAAAAAGGGCAACTTTGTTGCCACGGTAGTCTCTGCATATAAAGAGGTTTCATTGTATTGTCAGAATGATCAGTAAACATACCATAAACAACATATATTTCCTTCAAATGAAACATGGGGAAAATCCAGATAATCTAACAAAAGCTTCAGTAATTAAAGAGGTAACAGTATCCATCAAACCATTTTCTCATCAAATTATTGTTAACACATCCCAAATAGGCAAAAGCATCCAATGCATACCCAATAGGAAAAAGATCCCAATGATTTGTGACGTCCCGCATAAATCTCATTTTAGTTTTGTACAATAGAAAGCAATTCATTACGTCATCCAAAACAGCCTAAACATGACTTCATAGAAGCACCGACTGACCCAAGTATCAAACACCTAACCCAAACATGATCCGGACCCAAATGGGATTTCAAGTTCAGTAAAAAAAACAACCAAATTAGATACCATCCCTCGCAGCGTCAAGACGAAGAAGAATTCTCCATGTTTATCACTCAGTACACACACCAAACAGCCATAAGCCATAGAGAAAACCATACTTTATACACAGATCTCAATAGGAATGAACCAGGTAAATATGTTTCAGAATCTTCTGCAACCAAAGCAAAAGAAAAATTACAAAGCACCGAATCAATCGGATTCGTATTAGGATCTTAATGAGCTAACCTTCGAGCATTCATGGCTCACAAGGACCAGAACAATTCGACCCTATCGCTGCTTCTTTGATCTTTGAATTTTGAGCTACTGTAAACCAATTTGAACTTTTCAAAGGAATAATCTAAAACCAAAAATAAGATAGATGAAATGAGCCGAGGATTGAGGGGGTGAGAGGAATTCAGATCTGAGAGATTGGGAGCGAAGAAACGTACCGTTTGGAGGGAAGCCGAGGAGTTTTCCCTGCGGAGTAAGAAAGAGGGGAAATGAGAGTGAGTCGCTGGGATTTATATTCTGAAGGACTGATCTCGCGGGGGAAGAAAGTTTTACGTCTGTGGATCCCAATAGGATGGATGAACTTGGATAAGAATTGAAATGTTTTTTTACTGTGTTGTATCTTGTTACTCTTCCTACTGCCAGTAACAGTAAATGAGTAAAAGATTTTTTACATTTGGCATGTTTACTAATACATGGGTGTTGAAATAGTTTCAATTTATTACTTTTCATATGTTTTTTTTTTTTGTCTGAACCATGAGGTGGTCCTGGATGGGCCCCAACTATGGGTGGCACCTTTAAGCCTTAACCACAACCCATACTAATCCCCACTCACACCGGGTCGGCCCGTAAGGGGTAAAGTGTTGGCCAAAGTGGTGACTCCGTACGAAAGCAGGGATCGAACCCCTAACCTCTCTTAAGGAATGAGAGTGCCGAACCACTCACACCAATCACCTTGGTTTACTTTTCATATGTTTACTTACACATTCGGAATATTTAAAAAAAAACTTAGAAATTCCATGGTAAAATTCATAATCAAATACCCTAAAAATTATGAATTATATCCATTATGGGGAATAGTTGATCTGATCCTTATTCATTATTTTCAAATTAAATTCCATGATTCATAAATTCCCTCATTCTTTGTAAGTAAACATGAAGCTTTGTTTGTTAAGTAATTTTGCAATTCAAAGCTCAAAATAAATTGTTTATTGAATTTAAGGTTTCAATAGAGAAATTGTGAGAAAAATTGTGACTTCCCTCATCATATCTATTGTTAGAAAAATTGTGTTGCAGATTGCTTAGCTAATGGGAGCTTCAATAGAGTTCTAGGCTTCTATATTTATGATGTTGCTCCTAGTTAGGTAGCTTTCTTGTCAGCTAATGATGTGTTATGGGTGTCTCAAACTCGTTTGATTTGTTTTGAGTCTAATTAGTTTGCTTTTGGGGTGTTAACTAGGGCTGGGCATTCAAACAGGTAACCCAGTCAAACCGCCCAAACCAAACCAATGGTTTAGGTTGGTTTGGTTTTTTTTTGGTCATCAGTTTGAACCCAAACCAAACCGAAATATATGGGTAGATTAGATGTACGGTTTGCAATATTATAATACATAGTTTCAATCTTTTCTTTTCCTTCTCTCTCCATCTCTCCGTTTATTTTGTCTCCATCAGTCCCTCTCTCTCTATTTTTTTTCTCCTTCTTACATCTATCTTCACTCCCTCTCCCCGTCTCCCTCTTTTTTTTTTCTTTTTTTTCCTTCTTCTTGTTCTTCTCCATCTCTCCCTTTTTTTTTTTTTTTTGTTCTCTCTATCTCTCCCTCTCTCCATCGCTTTTATAGCTACTCTCTCTCTCTCTCTCTCTCTCTCTCTAAGAAAGTCAAAAAACCCAAACCAAACCAAACCAACCCATCAAGTTCGATTAACTGAAGTGGTCAGTTTTCATCAATTATGGTTTGATTTCGGTTTCCAAAATAGCCAAATCGAGACCTACAATTTGGTGTTCAGGTTGAGTCCAAAACCAAACCAACCCAGACTAAGCCCATCCCGTTAACCCCCTTTTTTCAACAAAAGAAATGTTTATTGAATTTTTTTGTAAATGTTAAATTTATTTTCTTCTTGTTGGGTTGGGCTGGGCCGCCTGTTTTGTTTGGGTTATTGGGCTGGGCTGCCCGCCCTTTTCGACACGTCATCGTCTTCTTCAATTAGGAGCATGAGCATCTGGTTCTGGTCAGACTGAGAGACAAACAAAAACCCTAAGCCTTTAAAAAGGTGGAGCTTGTTGACATACGCATATCAGAAGCGCCATCAAGCTCAAAGCTCACAGCGCGAACTCATGGGTTCACTGAACGAAGATGGCACCACGACCAGCTTTGAGTCATCACCGGAGATGGTGAAGTTTCTCTGCGACCGATTGCTCGACCCGACCCAGCCCATCTCGGAGCGCTTCAGAGCCTTGTTCTCTCTCCGCAACCTCAAAGGCCCTGGCCCTCGCAACGCTCTCATTACCGGTTCGTTTGTTTAGTTGTATGCAAGTGTTTCTATTATAGTGGCAGAGCCAATTTGCTTTCAATTTCAGCACTTGTTCATTCACTCTTATTGGGTAGGGTTGTTGTTTACTGTTTCATTAGTAGTTTCTAAGTACTTCTTTTGATTTTCAAAGCAAAATTTCAGTATCTTTCTCCTTGAGCTAACCTAATAGTTTGAATGGATATCATCGACTGATCAGCCTCTGCATGCGTTATAATATTGTTTATGTGATAGAATGAACATGGTCGTTCTGAGGACATTGATATTTAGATGTTTAATTCGTAGAGGGCATTATGCTGCACTTCTAGCTTTACAATTATGAATGCTAGGAAATGGGTTGGAAGTGAACATGATATATGTGGCTGTTTTTGTTTTTTTTTCCTTTCCCTGGAAACTATTATCGGAATAATTCTCTTCTGGTTTTCCTTTCATCTATCATTATATGTGTTGATGATTGGTCGTATTGTAATTGCTATATGGATGTGTGCTTTCCTCTGCAGCAACAAGAGATTCTTCTAATTTGTTGGCGCATGAGGCTGCATTTGCATTGGGTCAAATGCAAGATGCCGATGCAATCCCTGCTTTGGTAGCGGTTCTCAATGATCTCTCTTTGCATCCCATAGTTCGTCATGAGGTGAGTAGTTTATGTCACCTTAATCGACTTATATATATATAAATTTTGGCGAATCTGCTTATGTTCTTCATCTTCTTATAATATGTCTAAGTCTTCTGATTGCATTGGTGTAGGCAGCAGAAGCTCTTGGTGCAATTGGTTTAGAGAGCAATGTTCCTCTTTTAGAGAATAGTCTGGCTTTAGATCCAGCTCAGGAGGTAAAAGAAACTTGTGCGTTGGCCCTTAATCGAATTGAGCAGTTGAAGGATTCTGGTAATCAATCCTTGGATGAAAAGTCACCTTTTATGTCAGTTGATCCTGCTGCACCAGCTACTTCTTCTTCTTCTGTAAATCAGCTAAGGTGAGCCTGGTTATCATCCCTGGCTTATATTTTCTTCCACTCATGCTAGTTTGTTAGATATCTGACTCGTGTTATTCATTTTAAGGGAAGTTCTTCTGGATGAAAAGAAAAACATGTATGAGCGCTATGCGGCTCTATTTGCTCTGCGGAATAATAGTGGAGATGAAGCTGTTTCCGCTATAGTTGATTCTTTGGGTTCAAAAAGTGCTCTCTTGCGTCATGAGGTTTGTTTATCATCTAATCTAATCATATACTGATAAGTTATAGACTTAGACCACTCCACCCTCATGGGATTTTGACAAGGATTCTTTAAAGGTTGATGTTTCTAATTGCTTTTGGAGCAATGGACACCAATGCATAACTAGCATGTTTTACACTGCTTAACTGTCTTAGATTTGTTTTCACCAGTGGGTGCCATTTAACCTTCATATCTTCTTTGCTGTGGTTTTCAGGTTGCTTATGTGTTAGGACAATTGCAAAACAAAGATGCTTCAGCTGCTCTTTCCAACATACTTATGGATAGAAATGAGCACCCAATGGTTAGACATGAAGCTGCTGAAGCTCTGGGTTCCATTGCAGGTAATGACTGCTTGGTATTTGTCTAATTGTGTTCTCCAAGCATACCTATCTGTATATAGAGCAATAGCTGATAGGTGGATTTTCTGCTACCTTCTTGTGTGCCTGTCATATGAGGTGGCAGGCGGTGAAGCCCCTTTTTCTAAGAATGTACTTGATGTGAGATTGTTATATAGCATCTGAACCTCAAATATTGAGTTTTGGGTTATTTGATTGAGTTGCTATTTTGTGTGTAGACGACCAAAGTGTATCACTTCTTGAGGAATTCGCAAAGGACCCTGAGCCTATCGTGTCACAGAGTTGTGAAGTTGCTCTAAGCATGCTGGAATTTGAAAGATCAGGAAAATCCTTTGAGGTATGCATATATCAAAATATGGTTTCAAACCAATCAAACTCTAACATATCATCAGGAAAATGACTGAAGTCTCTATGTTATGTGCAGTACCTCTTCATGCAAGCTCCTCAGGTGCAATAGAAATGAACAGTTAGTTTCCGTCTCCGGTGCATTTCATGCATACACCAAACTTTGAAGCCCCAATGCAGACTCAGACAGTTCATCAAAGTTGTGCAAGCATGAAGTTTGGGAGAAAGGAAGGGATACAGTTTTTTCTTGCTCGAATTAGCCTGTATTTTTTGTCATATGGCTACCCAAATACATGGCTACAGAGTTGGTAACTTATGATTGGATGATTATCAAAGTATTATTCTGTGGAGTTTGTATAATGTATACCAAAATAGTCTTATGTTCCCTTTTATTTATGGATAAATATTTTCCTGCAACTTCATATGCCACCAATTTTGGATTAAACAAATTTCCCAAGAGACATGCCGACCTGAATTTACTTTTCATTTTTTATAATTTTTGGTAAATTGACTTGTTTCCAAAAGCTTCTTTACACGTTCAAAAAGAAAAAAAGGAAAAGGAAAAGGAAAGCTTCTGCCTTTTTTTGGTCGGATTAAAAGGAAAGCTTCTTAAGCAAGGACGTTCAAAATAACCTAGTACATATATGGGCCGGGTCGGATCCGTCAAAATATGTGGATGTTAAGCAAGCAACTTCTTAAGAGAGCTTTTACCAAAAAAAAAAAAAAACTTCTTAAGAAAGCTTCTTAAAGCTTGACAGACAGCAGCGACAAGCAGCGCGTGGAGCTCCGAGTGTCAGTGGTAAAAGAAAGTTCAATACCAGTCAGAGTCTCACTTCCCAGAGAGAGAGAAGAGAGATAGAGAGAATGGCGAACCCTCAGCCCCCGAAGCCATGGAAGGTGGAGTATGCCAAGTCGTCGAGATCATCATGCAAGACCTGTAAATCCCCCATTGAGAAAGAGAAGCTTCGCCTCGGCAAGATGGTCACGGCCACCCAATTCGACGGCTTCATGCCTGTACTGTCCTCTCTCTCTATCTCTCTCTCTCTCTCACCACCCCCATTTCACTTCCACTGTATTGTCATTTGTCACTATTATCACCCAAACGATAATACAAGAAAGTCATGAAAGATTGCAAGAAACCCTGTTATTTTTGCTATACTTTCACACCTCTTAGCTTGGAAACATCGATTATGTGTTGATTTTAATTTCTAACACATGGGTTTGGTTTCTTTGTATATTCTGCTACATTTTCATTTAGCTTGCCTTTTTGTTAGTACAAAGTTAGGACCTTTATTCGTCCAAAAAAAATAAAAATTTAGGACCTTTTTGTTGGTCTTTTCACGTTGTTTAGCATTGTTGGGTTATAAGAAACGCTTTCTGATGTTTGCTTGAACGGAAAAGTTTTCTTTGGGACAAGTTTTGCAGCTCTAGTGTAAAGTCGAAGTCTTGTTCAAAACATAATCAAGAAGAATATTCTCCAGAAAGAAGTTTCCTAAAATCTGCAAAACAGCAGAAATTTTCTTCTGCTTAAAAACTTCTCCTTTTTCCCCTTGAATAAAATGGTGCTTTATAGATTTACATTGCTGTACTTGTGTTTTCTTCATCAGCCTTCTTATTTTCTCAACACCTTTCCCCAAAAAGTACTACATGTATAAATGTTTGGCTTGTTCTTGTTTTCTGAATCAGATGTGGAACCATGCTGATTGCATAATGAAGAAAGCAAAGCAGATAAAATCGTATGTATTATTCCCATATTTATCATTTTTCCGTTGAGTGAAGTGGATGAACGCAGTGATTAACTGATACGCCTGTGTCTTGCATCTAGAACCGATGATGTTGAAGGCCTAGAGCTCCTTCGTTGGGAAGATCAGAAGGAAATTAGAAATTATGTACAAAGTGGTGGACCCCCAGATACAATAACAACAGCAACAACAACAAGCAAGGTCAGTAGTGGTATTGAAGTTTCACCAACTTCTCGTGCTACTTGCAAGAGCTGCAGCCAAAAGATTTTAAAAGCAGAGGTTGGTAATTGTTTATCTCTATCTTTTATATGCTCAGTAAGTACATTTTTGTATTAGTTGGGTTTCGTAGATTTCTTTGGATCTATGGTGTGAGAAATGAAATCTGTAAATCAAAAGTAAGTTTTCAATGTTGATAACCATGAATTGAAACCATTTTTCTTTTGGGTGGCACACTAGTGTATGATTGAACACGTTCAAGACAAGAAAGCTGAAACTTGTTGAGTTACCAGCCAAAGTGTCTTCCCAGCATCCTCTCTCTCTCTCTCTCACGCACTCATGTCTGCCCAGACACACCACAACAATATTCTATGGTTCTGTGGCAAGCTTTAGTCCCAATTTATAAAGAAAATGTTAGCTTATTTTAATAGAAATGTATATCATCATTGTATATAAGATACAACATCTTTCTCCAATTCTAGTTCATAAAGCATAATTGAAGTTGACTACTCTGCATGATTGCTTTTTATTCCATTTTAAGGTCCGTATATCAACCAAGCCTGAAGGTCAAGGACCTAGGGGCCTGGCATGGCACCATGCCAACTGTTTCATGGAATTATCACCATCCACCGAAGTGGAGAAGTTGTCTGGATGGGAGACCCTCCCAGTTGCTGATCAGGCAGCTGTACGTGCCTTGGTTAAGAAGGTTCCTTCTAATGCAAGAGGTGGTATGAAGTTCATTTTGTTTTTATTGTAGGTTGTTTCTATGCAGTAATAAGCAGTTATCTTTTGTTTGTCAGTCGCTATTGTTTTTCCTCTTATAGTAGTCATCCTTTCAGGCAAGAAAACTGAGGAACAAGAGGATAAAGAATTTCTGCAACAGGCAACTTCTAACACTAGCACAAAACGAAGAAAAGATAGTGGTGGTGATCAGAAGTCAAAAGTTGCTAGGTCGGAAGGAGATGTGTCAACGAGCGGGGATGTGTCCGTGAGGGATGCTACTGATCTGGAGAGTAAACTGGAGGCCCAATCTAAAGAGCTGTGGGCACTGAAAGATGATCTTAAAAAGCATGTGACGACTGCTGAGTTGCGTGAAATGCTTGAAGCGAATGTTCAAGATTCAACAGGTTCAGAGCTTGATTTGCGTGAGCGCTGGTAATATTATCTATGTTCTAGCTGTGGAAATTGAGTAGCTTTTGTCTTCTTTTTTTCCTCCCTTTAGGTTCATTTTTTCAATTTTATTTTTGTAAATTTCACTTTTTTAAACTGGCTTTTTATTTTTATTTTTAAATTTTGTTTCTCCATAAATGCTTTTATACATTTGTCTTGTTTTGTAGTGGATTACATAGAATAATCTTGTTGAATGTTGCTGCTTGATTTGTTGTCACAATCGAAACCTTTTATTTGGTTTCTTCTTCCCCCCCTCCCAAAGTATGCTTGAATTCGATCTACTAATTGTCCTTAGCTGATTATCATCTCTAAGTGGATCACTAGTTTTTCATCTAATTAACTTGAGGTTGATTAACTCTTTATTGTTGTACTTGTTTAGCGCTGATGGAATGATGTTTGGAGCACTTAGTAGATGCCCAATCTGTTCTGGTTTTCTTCGTTATTCTGGGGGCATGTACCGGTGCCATGGCTACATATCAGAGTGGAGTAAGTGTTCTTACTCTACTGAGGAACCTGAACGCCTTAAATGGAAGTGGAAAGTCCCAGAAGATACTGACAATCTATATCTTAATAAGGTATTTAATTACAACATATGTCCTGTATGTAGGGATCCTAGTTATGGCTTAAGTTATTATTGTTTTTTGTTTTTAATTTTGCAGTGGTTTAAATCACAAAGGGTTGAGAAACCAATGCGGATACTGCCTCCATCAACACCTAATAAACCTTCTGGAAGTCAAGCTTTCAATGGCCAATCTCAGTCATCTAACAGTGCAAGCTTGGCAGATTTGAAAGTTGCTTTTCGTGGATTACCAAAAGAATCCGTGGCATGATCATTTGTTCCTTTTATGTGTATTTAATTCGTAGTATCTGTGGAAATTTTTTTTTCTGCACTTTCACTTCGGTCTATCAATTTCATTAAGGGTGATTGTGCAGGAAGAATGGAGTCGAAAAATTGAGGGTGTAGCTGGACTGGTTCATTCGAAGATCAAGAAAGGCATGTGCTTTTCATGCACATAATTTGATTTAGTGCCTTGCCTTCTTTGGATTATAGCTGTATCTGTTGACTTAAAGATGCATAACATTAGTTATTTTGTTAAATAAATTAAAGTGCAGATACTAATTGCTTAGTTGTGAGTGGAGCTCTTGATGATAAAGATGCTGAGATGAGAAAAGCAAGGTTAAGATGCTATCAAATTGCTGGTCTTGACTCTTGAGTGTATAACCTTGGTTTTTGACTGGGATAAGTTACATTTTCAGGAGAATGAAATTACCAATTGTCAGGGAGGATTATCTGGTTGATTGCTTTAAAAAACAGAAGAAGCTTCCATTTGATCTGTACAAAGTTGAAGAAGTTGGTCAAACCTCTAGCATGGTCACTGTCAAAGTGAAAGGCCGAAGTGCTGTTCATGAATCTTCTGGTCTGCAAGATACATGTCATATACTTGAGGATGGGAAAAGCATCTACAATACGACCTTAAGCATGTCTGATTTATCAACTGGTGTTAACAGGTGCATTTGGTTTATTCTATCTTTCTTGTTAATCAATTTTTCCGGAATTGATCTTGTTGTTTTCCACATCAATTGGCAGTACTCATTTCTTGAACTTAAGTTGCTAGTATCGTTTCTTGCCTCGGATCCTCATGCATTGCCCATCATGTTTTAAGATAAACTATTAGAGCAAATCCTTGTGGAAGTACTAGTAGTCCCTTGAATTTGCAGTTTACTTCTGAACTTAAGTTAGGATGAAAGCATTATTGTACTATCAATTTTTTTCTTCTCTAAAGGGATAAAATCATTATTCTACAGTATTGGAAGTTAAACTTTTCTGTATTAGTTTACCCATCACTTGCAGTTAGTTTTGCTTTTAAAATAAGTATTCGGAACTCCTATTAGGGCCTATTACTTCTCAATATACTTGTAGTTAATTGGGCCTTTTCTTTTGATAATGTATGTTATAAATTCTGATTTCTAACTCTTTCTTGCTCTCTCTTTTCTATTTAGTTACTACATTCTCCAAATTATACAAGATGATAAGAGTTCAGACTGCTATGTGTTTCGTAAATGGGGACGAGTGGGGAATGATAAAATTGGAGGTAACAAACTGGAAGAGATGTCGAAATCAGATGCGATCTGTGAATTTAAACGTTTGTTCCTTGAGAAGACTGGGAATTCGTGGGAAGCATGGGAGCAAAAACAAAATTTTCAGAAGCAACCTGGCAGATTCTTTCCATTGGATATTGTACTGCTTATTCTTTTATTTCTTTTATAATTATCCTCAAATGTGAAGGACCCATCCTTGGTGGTGAATCCTTGTTTCTGTATTTTCTTTTTCTTAAAGTTTATTTGATTAAAAATTGGAATTTGTAGGATTATGGGGTTAACAAACAGGTTTCCAAGAAAAATCAGAACAATGCAGCCAGCAAACTAGCTCCTCCTTTAGCAGAATTGATGAAGATGCTTTTCAATGTTGAAACATACAGGTTAAATTTTTTTAGTTTCAACCTTTGTTTCTCTCTCTCTCTCTTCCATCTCTTTTTATCTATCTATGAGTTGTATGTCTATGAGACTAAGTCTTAAGTTTTGCAGAGCTGCCATGATGGAATTTGAGATAAATATGTCAGAAATGCCACTTGGGAAATTGAGTAAAAGAAATATCCAAAAGGGTAAATATTGAAAAGAGAATCTCTTCAATTTTCTGTAGAGTTCAGATATCAAAATGTTATATTTTCAAGTTTAATGTTTAGTAGTTTGCATAATAAAGTCTTGCGCCCTTTCCTCCAGTCCTTATTTTCTTTTTCTGATCTCTATGTTCAGGGTTTGAAGCATTAACGGAAATACAGAATCTGTTGAATAGTAATGGCCATGCTCCTTCCATGAAAGAGAGCTTGATTGTAGATGCAAGCAATCGATTTTTCACTGTGATACCTTCCATACATCCACGTGTTATTAGAGATGAGGATGATTTTAAGTCAAAGGTACATAAGGATCTGTGTGGTTACATCTTTCATGTTTTTGCACATTCTCAAGCTCACAGTTTCCTTTACGCCTTTCCATTATTTTAAGATGGTTTTTCTGAACCTATATGTAATATGCATGAATTTAAATGATTTATTTTTGGGTTTTTTTTTTTTTGGTTGATGATGCCAATCTCTCCTTAACGGATTGCTTATATTACTATTTATGTTAGGATTCATTAATTTTTTTACCAGAGGGATTGAAATATTAAATTTTTCATGATGCTGAAGTTACTGCTGTAATGAGAGATTGCAACTGATTTTGGCAAGTCTGCATAGTTACAACTTACAAGCAAGGCATAAGATGTTTATACAGCTTTTTTGTATCCTTGGCAGGTGAAAATGCTAGAAGCTCTCCAGGACATTGAAATTGCTTCCAGATTAGTTGGTTTTGATGCTGATACCGATGACTCCCTTGATGAGAAGTATAGGAAGCTCCGGTGTGATATTGATCCAATTCCTCATGATAGTGAAGATTTTCAGTTGATTAAAAAATATCTTCTTACTACTCATGCCCCTACACATACGGTGGGTTTGCATCTTGATAACTTGAGTTCCGAGCGTACTATGTTGGTGACCTATTCTATATACTCAACACTTAATGTCAATTGATATATTTTTCTAAATCGTGTGTCTGGCTTCTTATGATAATATCAGGATTGGAGCCTTGAGCTTGAAGAAGTTTTTGCTCTTGAAAGGGAAGGGGAATTTGATAAATTTGCTCCCTATCGGAAAAAGCTTAACAACAGAATGCTTCTTTGGCATGGTTAGTTTCGCTGCCTTTGAACTTCATGTAATGATTTTTGTGTGCTGTGAGATGGGAATGACTATTGTTCCTTGAAATCTTTCGTAAAATCTACTACTAAATTTATTAGGACCTATGATCAAGAGTAGAAATAGAACTAATAATTTTATACTCCCAGGTTCTCGGTTTACAAATTTTGTGGGCATACTTAGCCAAGGACTGAGAATAGCTCCTCCTGAAGCCCCTGCTACTGGTTATATGGTTCTCTCTCTCTCTCTCTCTCTCTCTCTCTACACATTTATGTCTATCCATGTATTATGTTTTGTGTGCCTCTGCGTGTACACAGTTGCAGTGTCTATGCTTTTTCTGCAAGACTAAAAGCATAAACATTTCGCATTACAGTTTGGGAAGGGGATTTACTTTGCTGACCTTGTCAGTAAGAGTGCTCAGTATTGCTATACAGACAAGAAGAATCCTGTGGGCCTCATGCTTCTAAGTGAAGTTGCCTTGGGGGAGGTCCATGAGCTCAAGAAGGCTACGGTGAGGACATTTTCCATTATCTTTTTATGTGCTTTGATTGTGTGTTTTGAATATTCTAATTGTAGTTTGACAGTGTTCTACTAGTGGTATATACTTGTCATGTATAACTTCAGTGAAGTATGTGGAGGCTCTTATGCACCCTAAAAGTTTGTAGTTTTGTTGTGTGTAGACAAAAAAATAATCCCATACAGATACATCAAACCTGCCATTTCTTCTGTGACTTTTGCCCATCTAACTTATTTGTATGCTACTATACTCTAGTATATGGACAAACCTCCTAAAGGAAAGCACTCTACAAAGGGGCTTGGCAAGAAAATACCTCAGGAGTCGGAGTATGTAAAATGGAAGGACGATGTCATCGTGCCTTGTGGAAAACCAGTGCCATCAAATATCAAGGCCTCTGAGCTAATGTATAACGAGTACATTGTTTATGATAAAGCTCAAGTAAGTTCTGAGCTTTGTTCTTGTTGGTCATTACCACTTGTGACTCTATTTTTTCACTTGTTTTGGAGACATATGGTAACTTAACTGGGTGTTGACATCTATGGACAGGTTAAGATGCAATTCCTGTTGAAGGTGAGGTTTCATCACAAGAGGTGAGGGAGACATTGGTGTCCAGTATTTTGGCCATGGTGTACAGTGTGGTGGTGTGCTCAGAAACTCGCACGATGTTTCTCTGTTCTAGGGTTTTGAATGTTCATATCAATAAAGATCTGTTTTGGGGATTGTGTGAGATCTTTTAACTTTTGCTTCTGGCATTGTAGAGAATGTTTTTCAAGTAATGGAATCAAACCCTTTGGGCATTTTGCTCGCTCCTGTGGCTATATAATGCACTTTTTTTTTTCTTTTTCGTCAATCAACCCTTTTGTGTATATATATATATGTTACCATGAGGATATCATCATTCTACGATATATGGGCTTCTTCCCTCCCAAAATCATTATGGGAAATTAGACTGAAAAACTGAACTGGACTGTTTCTATGGAAACATAAATAGGGATGTTTTTAAATCATCCCCAACTGGGCCAAAAGTTTTCTGTAAGTTGGTTTTGTTCTGAACCCTCTAATAAAGAAGATGAAGAAATGGATAAAGGTGGTGTTTCTCTTTTGTCCTTTTTTAAGGTCATCCAAAGCTACGAGTGAGAGAAAATTATGTAACCGATTGTGCCTGCGTTAAACCAGGGATGAACTGAAAGGTGTTTGTTGGTTCTAAAGTCTTCTCGATATGGGATCTTGGAGGCAGCTCTGCATGTGTGCCATGTGCTTGATGATGATCCAAATTTGACTCCAAATAAATGTAGCTAAGCTGCAAACGTCATGTGTGAACGGATAGGAATTTTTTTTTCTTCTTTTTTTCATGTTCAATTACTGCCGATCGTTCGTGTGATCTGGTGGTAAGAGCTTGGCAAATAAGGTATGCATGCAGCAGCAGAGCTGAGCTGAGCTAAGAATTGTGAATCTGTGACATGGGAATGTAGCTTTTGGTACATACAGCCAATTTCCTCAGTTAGAATGACGAGCCCTACTCATGCAGTTGAGCCTTCTTCTGGCCCTTTCTGATGTAACCCAGCATTTTTATATATGCACCCAACGGAGGTGGCAGGTCTTCTTGCTCTGTTCTCTACAGCTGGTCAACAATAACTCTGACTCTCTGAGGCACCTGTCCTATGATTTCATCCGTTCATTGCACTTTCCCCTTGCACAAATCTGGTCATATACTTGGATTGACCAAGTTCCATTTTGGGTTGGTCATGTCATTTATGTCACTTAGACTAGTTGCTAATTGAATTAGTTTTTCTTTCCTAATTAACAAAGGCTGCAGCAACTGGGATTAATTAACAAACAATAATACTAGAAAACCGCAAAGGATAGTGGTTTGGAGCAATTGCTCTATCTAGGAAAGTCTTAGGTTTTAGAATTCGAGTTCTAACATTGGTGTAGTATGTGTGAATAATATATTTTCGCTCCTATAAATAGGAAAGATCCTTAAAAAAAATACTAGAAAACCAACTTCTTTTTTTATAAGGACATTAGATGAGGAGGGATTCGAACACTTAAGCTACAAGTCCATTGCATACTAGAAAACCAACTTATTACACGGAGTTTTGGTTAGCAACTGACACAGAAGTTTCTTGTTTGGTATAAGTAAATAAGGTCCAGAAAATGAAATACTGCTTTGCAGTACCTGTGGTTCTGGTTGAGGCCAGTAAATTGAGTGAAGCAAGCAAACAAATGTGCATTTAATTTGTGATAGATGTATGGAGAAAACGATAGCGTTATATTAAACCACTTTAAGACTTTTGAGTTGGCTTCTCTTTTGTCTGATGTGATAAATGGTGGCATGCATAACGCACGAGAAAAACACAAACTGCACAAACTCCATAATCATCTTCTACACTTGAAAAAGCTCAATGAAACCTTCAGCTCCAAGAGAGCACCAGTCCCTTCATCATTTTTCTGATCTCATCTCATCTGACAAAACCCAATTTCCAAAACCTCAAGCAAACTGCAACAAAAAACGAAACCAAAGCAGGACCAGTTTTTCTCCACCAGGCTTCCCAAAAGTTTGAAGTATTCAACTTGTTTAATGGAATTAAGCATGATTATTGTGTAGCAAATTAATAATTTATAGTTTAATAAATTATACCTCCTCCTCATACCATATTATAAGCATTTTTCTCATCTATATTGCTCAGGGTAACTGAATCATTAGTAATTGTCGGTAGAAAAATACCAGCAGGTATGCCACAAGGCGACAAATTGCAGCAGTTCCCAGGTGCGGCGTTCGGCGGAAAATGTAAACATATTCAAACCAACAAAATCAAACTTCACATAAAAAAAATGTTAATCAAACTCTTAACCATTGAAAGATAAAAGAAAGGAAAAAAATTGTATGAGAGTAAGTTGAAAGCCTTAAAGAAAGTAGCCCCATCAGATTACAAAAACCATTAAGAAATGTCCCCTTAGAACCCAACACACAGACCTTCCTTGTCCCCCGTTCACATTTTTTATAAGACCCCCCCTTTTATGTTTCTCAATGCCCCACTTTCCTCCTTCAACCCAACCCCATTAACCCCAAAGTCATATATCTCTCTCTATGTGCACCATTTCCTAGTGTGCTCGTGTGCCTAAAAATATTTTAACCCCTCTCTCTCTCTCTCTCTCTCTCTCTCTCTCTCTCTCTCTCCCAATTTTCACTCAATCACTCACTCTCTTATTCTCTACCAAACCCAAAAATGGCTTCTGGGGCTGGCAGTAATGGCTCTGGCACTGGCTCTCCTTGTGGGGCATGCAAATTTCTGAGGAGAAAGTGTGCCTCTGACTGTATCTTTGCACCTTATTTTTGCTCTGAGCAAGGGCCTGCTCGATTTGCTGCCATTCACAAAGTGTTTGGTGCTAGCAATGTGTCCAAGTTGTTGTTGCATGTCCCTGTTCATGATCGTTGTGAAGCTGTTGTCACAATTGCCTATGAAGCTCAAGCAAGAATCAGAGATCCTGTTTATGGATGTGTGGCTCACATTTTTGCCCTGCAACAACAGGTACTTACCAAAAAAGTCTCAATTTTTCTGCCAATTAAGCTTAACCCTTTTCTTTTTTGGTTGAATTTGTGTTTTTGATGAATTAAGCAAACCCTTTTGTTTTTTTGGTTGCATTAAGCAAACCCTTTTGTATTTTGGATGAATTAAGCAAACCCTTTCGTTTTTTGGTTGCATTAAGCCAACCCTTTTCATATCATGGTCTAACAATTAGTATTTATCACTCATAGGTGGCATGTTTGCAAGCACAATTGATGCAAGTAAAGGCTCAACTGGCTCACCAGAGCCTTGCTGATTCAAGGAACATAGAGAGCACTCAGTGGCCAGGGAATGTGAATGGAGTCACAAACTTTCCAAATTATCCAAGTTACATGAATCCTATTTCACCTCAGAGCTCGCTTGAATCCATTGACCACAACTGCAGTGATATTGCTATGAATATGCAGGAGATACAAAGCAGCAGAGATGACTTCTCATACCAAGCCTGTTCTAAGAAGAGACCATACAATGGTGACTTGGGGGAGCTTCAGGCACTGGCCCTCAGAATGATGAGAAACTGAATCAATCTGTCATCATGTTTCTTTTTCAAGATTATGAGTCATATGACTGGTCTTTCAGATGTGCTATGCCCAAAGATGTATATACTGAGCTTGTCTTTTTGTTTGAAGAACAAGAAATTAGCACCTTAAGTCATAAAATCTACAATAGACCTCTCTCTCTCTCTCTCTCTCTCTCTCTCTCTCTGCTGTATACTAAAATTATTAGTACTTCAGGTGCATAAATTACTTGGCTAATTGAAATATTCAACTTTAATCTTACTCAGATAATGTAGTCTTTATTGAGTGACTTATTAGAATACACAACATTGACCTTATTGAAGAAAAATCTTGAAATCCGAGTCATCCTGAATTGTTAATTGCATCTTTCCTTATCAAATTCAACAATGGTACGTTTGGCCTGGCTTATAACTTCAGTGATAGGGCATTTGATGCTACCTTCAACACAAAAGTTCAACTATATTAATTGTCTTCCCCTCCTCCGTTAAATACAAATGATGATACGTTTGAGCACTCTACAATTTAAATATCTTAATCTATTTTCCATGGGTTTAGCTAAGGTTCAAGTACACTTGCAGAAATAAAAATTAAACATGTACGTTTAAATTTGAACCTAATGGTGCCCCTAGTTACAAATGGTGTCTAATATCTATTCTATTCTATATGATATTTGCAATGGCATGCAAAGGCATATGAGACATCTACACCTTCAATATTCCCGGAAATCCCAAGATTAGTTTAATCGTTTCCTTCTCAATCAAGATAATTGGTCCATCTCCTTGATAGTATTATTCATTTCTAATTAGGAAAATTAAATAAATAACTACACTCATGTAGCTTATCTATCATGTTGCTAAATAGATGCACCCGAGGTCCTGTATTCGAATTCCTTCTTCCCTAATATTGCTTATATTTGAAAAAACACTAAATCTATCAAATACAAATTTAGGAGCTTTCTCTCAATGTAGATGATAATGGACTCTTTGAGCATCTCCATTAACCTCTTCAACCACTTTTGGATGCTCAAATAGGTGAGTTACATCATATAAAAAATCTCTCTAACAGCCTTGTCAAACTCAGTCATCAAAGATGCAACCTCTCTCTCTCTCTCTCTCTCTCTCTTCAGGACTGGTAAGTTAACTTCGGCTCTTCAAATCATTTAATTTTACTTTGGAAAAACAAAACCTACCTCAAAAATGTTAAAAACATGCATTTTTTCTTTTCAGATAATAAATGCAAGACATTTTTCACATGTTTTCATATTTTTCATTCTTTTACATGATATTGCATTAATTGAATTGAAGAGTCTGTTGGAGCAAAAATTATTCAAGTAGCAAATAAACCTTTTCAAATTGCCACATAAATCAACAAATTTTAATTTAAAAAGTTTAATGTTACTCTTGGAGATGCTATTAGTATACATCCCCTAGGAGCTAGGGTTTGACATTGTGATTGATTAGGGGAAGATCAAGTGAATGGTATGATTGTAGTTAAAGGCTAAACACACGCTTTAGCCTTGATGTGAGTAGTTAATGGTCCCACTTGCTAGCTTGAGGTTTTTGTTCTAATAAGTTCACCTAACATTAGTACCCTAATCTAATTTAAATATTATCATACCTATGATTTTGTATTCTTATATATAGACAAAGTGTCCCCTTGATTGAATGCACAGAACTGCATCATTAGTTAGCACCTCGGCAACTTTAATTTGTCAAACCAA